TGAATTTATAAGATGGATTTGTGATTAGACTGACTGTACATAAGGCACTGTTCCAGCTATGCCATCATGAAGTTTAATAAGGTAATCTAAAAATAAAGTACTTGGAGAGGCTGAATGAAACTCAGGAGAGAATAAGCAGATCTGCACATAGAGAGGATGAAGGCTCCAGGTTTAGCTGCAGAGTACAGTCTGCGTTTTCACTTTAGTCTACAGCTTGCAGTTGGCCTGCGCTACTTTGGAGCTGGTCTTTCTGTTGAGGGTTCGACAGATATAAGCTCCGGCATCCATCAGCTTTGAGAGGTCCACTCCCTGAGGTGAGGACAGCAAGTCAAATGTTAAACTTGAAGTAGCCCACATCCTACAAAATATGGCTAAAATGTAAACTACAAATGTAGCTTAATTATAATATGTGGAAAAAACGCAAAAACAAGAGCAGCATTAACAAGTTCTACTATATAGGAAATAAAAGAAAAGGGAGGTTAAAGATAAACATAAAGGAGGACTTCTCACTGTTTGAATCCCAAGTCCGTGAAGCATGTAGACTACATCTTCAGTAGCAACATTCCCAGAAGCCCCCTGGGCATAGGGACAGCCCCCCAGCCCTGCTACTGACGAGTCCACCACACTGATTCCCATCTGCAAAATAATGGTACAATAGATTCATTAAAGACAATCTTCAGTTTATGAATTAATGTTTGCTTTTTACCTTTCATATTTATTCTAATAATAAAAAGGAAAATATATTTTCCAAAAATAGTAAGTAACCAGAGTGAGGTCTGACCTGTAAGGCTATGAGGATGTTGGCCAGGGCCTGGCCGTAGGTATCGTGGCAGTGCACTGCCAAGGCATTAACTGGCACCTCTTTGCTCACCGCCTCCAGCATTTCAATCATGCTTCCAGGAGTCCCCACTCCTATTGTGTCACCCAGAGAGATCTCATAGCAGCCCATGGAGTACAGACGCTTAGCCACCTGCAAGATAGAGTCCAAGTTAGACCTGGTAGTGTGCCAGTTTATGTCAAATAAACACCTATCAAATAAAACTCACGTGTGCAACTTTTTCTGGTGCCACCTTGCCTTCATAGGGGCATCCAAGAACACATGACACATAGCTGAGGTGACAGGAAACAGAGAGGAAGGAAATTAAAACCCAATCATTCCAGTAATGTATACATGTGTTAGGAGCGAGACAGTAAACCTACCCTCTAACTGGCACACCGGCTTCTTTCGCTGCTTTCATAATCACTTCAAAGCGCTGTAAACTCTCTTCCACTGAGCAGTTTATGTTCTTCTTACTGAAGAGCTCTGATGCAGCACCAAATATGGCTACCTCTGAAGCTCCAGCCTTCAACTGAGGTAAGTAAGAGCAAGTACAATTTGTATTGAAACATTGAGACTACAGTGTATGAAGCTGGATTGATCAGTGTAGCTATTGGGATGTGATGTGTGACACTTACAGCAGCCTGGAAACCCTTGAGGTTGGGGGTGAGGACGGGGTAAGACACCCCCGGTTTCCTACCAATCCCCTTCATCACTTCCACCTGGTCTGCCATCTGGACAAGGGTGACAGAAACCAATTAGTCCTGGAGAACAAGCCACCACCATTCCTTCACACTGCAATTTCTGTACCGCCCTACGTTGGGTGTGTCAGCACTTTCCATATGAATGGCTGTGGGAGAACAAACTCACCTGTGGAACCCATTTTGGAGACACAAAGCTGGTGGCCTCAATGACTGGCAGCCCTGTCGCTGACAGCATGTCAATCAAATGAATTTTAGTTTCTGTTGGCACGATAGTCTGAGGGGGGAAGCAGCAGAGCAATAAAACGAGGAATAATTGTGAAAAGACTGACAAAAATGCATGCCTGGAATTATTTCACCTGTTATACAATATTTAAACACCTGCTCTATTTCATTATACTCTGTGTTGTAAAGTTACTAAGTACATGTACTCAAGTACTGTACTTAAGTAAAATATTGGGGTACTTTTACTTTTCTTGAATATTTCAATGTTCTTGCTACTTTGTAAATCTACCCCACTACTATTGAGAGATTAATAGTATACTTTTACTCCACTAGCTTTAGTCAATACTTTGCAGATTTTGACTAATGACATGAAATAGAATCAACAAGGAAATAAGACTTTAGTTACACATCGAGTAAATTATATTATTATTAGCTACCAGTAGTTTACCAAGTAATTTCAGTTAGCTGCCCCTTTACAAGCTTTGATAAACAAAACATATAATATATTATTCTGAAATGGACCAATCTGCCAAATGAATACTTTTGGTATACGAGTAGCTTATATTGTGATGCTAATACTGTACTATATATATATATATATATATATATATATATATATATATATATATATACATATACATATACATATACATATACACACACTTGTACCTATACTTGAGTCACATTTTGATTGAGCAGGACTTTTACTTGTAACAGAGTTTCTACTGATGGTGACACGCATAGATATGTTAACATCTGACATGTAATAGCTTGTGTTTAATCAAATTATTCAAGTCATTAATTGTTCTTACATAACCTTACATACCTTTTCATTCTGAAGCCCATCTCTGGGTCCCACCTCCACTATTTTCACCTTCTCTGGAAGAGCTTGACCTGCTCTTACGCCAGCCTGCACAAACACACGCAGACACATATTTAATACAGATGTAATTTAAAGCAGTGTTAGGTAAGAAAACCTGACACACAGCTGCCTAGGTTACCAGCTATCAGTGACTGTATGTTAGCTTAGCTTGACCGTGGAGGAAGCTACAGTTGGCTACAGTTCGCCGACAAGCACTACAGTACTGACAGCCATTTAAACATGAACAATATAACCTGCTGGGAGATAAAAGCATAATAAAACGTACTGCAGTGACCTTTGCTGCTGAGCTATACGCCACATACTTCTGACCCATTGCTGAACTTAGAATTCTTCTGTTTACAAGACTCATCACGGTCGCCATGTTGGTCGGTTAGTGCTAGATAGATCCAAGCCCCCAGGAAGTGCGCCGGACTCTGATGAAAATATTCGTTGTGTCCAAAAGGCGGTACTACAATTTCCGGATCAGTCCGTGACGTCACTGGGCCCAGAAATACTTTTTCCCATTCACTAACATTGGGAAAGAGACGTCTGTAAATCAGCGGATACTTTTTTAAAAACTAAATAAACTACCCCGTATGAACTATTTTATAGCCCTTATTATAATCATTAGGTCCTTAAGTTGTAAAATGCATTCATTCTACTGAGCCGAGAGTAGGAGCTCCGGGGGCGGGGCTTAAGGGGCGCATGCTCTGTAAACGCACATACGGGTTCTTCTCATGGATGTTCTGCTCTGACAGCCAGGCATGATGGGTAATCTGTGACGTTTCGCTCTCTCAAAAGTTGGGCCATTTTGTCCTCATGCGCCAATGAGCAGCTCTCATAGGAAAGAACGAGGCCCTGGGCTGAAGTCCAATAGTCCATTTAGCTTAGGAACCTTCCTAACGGAGTGAAATGACCCGGAAGTACGTCACTGGCAGCCATGATAAGTGCCGTTCCAATTCTCCAAATGAAAGAAAAGGAGGTTTCAAACTTCCTTTATAACCTCCTTTAGTTTAGGAACCACTAGACCTCCCTAACCGAAAGGAGAGGAGAAAATGCTGCCCCACAATGCATTGCAGCCGCAGCATTTGACGTCACACAACAGTCGGCCGTTCATGGACACAAACGATAATGGGAGAAATTATATCATGAAAGTTACGGTGCTTATTAAGCTTTTTAAAACGTATGTGGTAAGTTGCCAAAGTGCTTTGTTTTGAACGTTCATCAGTATTATAATCAAAAAGAGAAATATGAACGTTAGTTTTTACTGAAATGATCAAATAAAGTCAACATTTCACTGAGCTGTGTGGGGTTTGCTCAACTTTTAAAAGATGTTTGAATGGTGATATACACAGTGATAGATGTTAAGGACTAACGTTTATAATAAATACATTTGTATTTATTTTAAGATCTTTTAATAGTTCATACAATCATACGTATTGGGATCATTTGTATTAATGTGGACCGGAGGGAGAGGGTGACGAGCATACGTTTCACTTTCCTTTTTTATTTAAATTCCAACTTTGGTCATGAAGAATATGTTTCTCTGTTGTCCACGTTCATAAAGCATAAAACAACAGCATCAGAGCACGGTGCAGAGTCTCTAGATGAGTTTACAGTAGTCCCTTGTTCTTATTAAACATCCATGTTGTAGTCCGCTATAGAAAACTGTGGTTTCCATAGTTTCCTCATAGCAGCAGACGCACATTCATGACGTCCGCTGGCGCATCATAAACACGTCGGATAGTGAAAGTGCATTCGGATTCTCTAAGCACCGCAGTCTCTTCTCCTAAATCCTTTTGAATTCTCCTATCCACTATCCCTTAACCCCGTGACGTTTCACTCAGAGGTCAAGGAATAGGAGATAGGGTTAGAATTTAGGAGCTGATTTTTGGATTATCGGAACGCAACCCTGATGTCACTTCTCCCTCGGGATAGAGGAACGGAAAGCACCGCAAGGTCGCCATCTATGGGCCGGGTCTTTGTATTGAAAACTCATTTCAGAATATTTTTAATGTCCTTTATCATTTATTATGTTAATTGTAATTCAACTCCATTACCATATACGTTTAAGACGTTTGCAAAAGCTACATCATATTTATACACATATGTTTTAATGCTTCACTCATGTTGATGTCATTTTTCTTGTAATCATTCACTCACTATTTGACAAATAATCTAAATGAATACTGTTTTCTTTACATATAACACTTTCGAAATGTTCTAAAATCATCAGTGTGCAATGAAATATTGTCCATTTCGAATGCATATAATCTGCCTTTATTTTATTGTATATTCATTATTTGTTCTTGTCCTTACTATAGTTTTCCTTTTATAAGATTTGTTTAAACTCTCCATTTAGACAACAAGATGTGAAATGACACAGAACACAGAGTTGTATAAAAATATCTTTAATGTGTCAAAAAGTAAAAAGAAACAGACAAATACATTATAATTGGTTTTATACCATAGTGCATATCATAATCAAAAATGATCATAGAAAAACTTTGTGACATTGGGAGGGAAAGAAAAGTCTGCTGTTGATTTTCCCTACAGTGAGCAGGAAAACAGCAGTAGAGTCATAACATGTCACTTTGTTTTGTTCAAACGCCAGCATTTATCAAAGCAGAAAGACTCGAAAAGTAGCATGTGTTTTAACATGCATATGAAAAAATTATTGAAAGAGTTATTATTTAACAATAATAGAGGCAAAGGAAACACTGACAATGCATGCTTTGGATACTGCATATATTTATGAAGTTTAACAAAAAGCATTCCATTTGTCACTAAGGTCAACTTCTCATTTAAAGTAACCATTAACCGGTTGCATTTAACTAATAGACGTATATATATAACTAATATATCATAAATGTATGTATTTACATTACTGGATCACATGTTATTCATAAATTCTCCTGCATGGCTTCAGCACATGCACGCACACGCACACGCACACGCGCACACACCACACACCACACACACACACACACACACACACCCACACACACACACACACACACACACACACACACACACACACACACACACACACACACACACACACACACACACACACTATATTTCACTCCAGCTCCTCGTCACTGTCGTCCACTTGTTGGATGATGAGGTCGGCCCCCGAGTCTTCAGCCAGGTCATCGTCATCAGTTACCATCCAGCTCCTCTTGCTGTCCCCCTCCTCCTCCCCGTCTACTCCCAACAATAGTGCCGGCTCCTCATTGGCGCCATCTAGACTGTCCATGGGGATGTCATCACAATCCACTTCCTGGATGCATGCGGTGCACATGCGGTATCGTCGTGAGCCCTCACACACCACATGCCCAGTGTCCTCCGTCACCTGACACTTACATTTCCTGCAAACCAGCTTCCTGGCTTGATGGATCTGTGGAGGAACAAAAAAAAGTCAGAAATGCTGTTGGTGTTTCTATGGGGACGAGTAGGTGGTTGTAAATAATCTTTTGTTTTCAAACACTGAAGCACAGCCTGAAGTGTATGCTCACAATTTCTATGTTTCTAAAGCTGTTACATCAATACTGAATTACTTTTGCCTCCGGGTTGTTAATAAACCTACCGTCTCGAAATGGCTCCGAAGATGCTCCAGGCGAGTGAAACGTTTATTGCAGGCCTGACAGGGGTACGGCCTCTCTCCAGTGTGGCAGCGCAGGTGTCGCTTCAGGTCTGCCTTCCTTTTCACCGTGTGTGTGCAGAAGGGACATTTGAAGCGCATAATGGGGTTTGAGTCTGCAAAGAGGAAGATAAAGTGTTCAGAGCTCTTGCTTTTCGGTTGATGCAGCAACCTGCAACAGAATCACAAAACCCAATATCCCCTGGGTTAAATACAATTATTCTGATTCTTATGATTGTGATAAAAGTTAGAATTAAGAAGGTCACTGATGCTGATAAATGTTGAATAAGTTACAGAGATTACTTTTTTGGGAGTTCATGCTAAAAATATTTGTAAAATGGTTAACGATGACAAGAAATTGCATGACATCTGACTGTGTCTTGCTGTTTCTAAATTCAGTTATATTCGTTTTTTTATATAGAATATAAACTTTTTTCTGGCATTTCTGATTTATTATATTAGTGAGAAGGAGACAGTAAAGGCATGGGATAAAATGCAACAGTAAACCCATGGCGGGATTTGTACCCAGGCAGCTGTAGCAAATTAGCGTCAGCTAGGCTATAAAGAGAACAATACTTGCATCAAATAGCTGTTTTCAGCTTGTCCATATATTATATTTCTGTCCGTATTTAACTTTCAATAAATTAATAAATAATGTCCTGAATATGAAGAATTGGCTTATTTTGAGGTTTACAATCCATGCCAGTCTGACCATGTTGTTCATTTTCCCACTTCTCTATAGAAATGATTGTCTTTTCCTTTCGTACAGCCCGACTCACCTCTATTGAAGTGTCCAATTACACCCACAATAGGTGGCAGAGTAGCATAAAGCTCCTCTGCCTTCTCAGCCTTTTGTGTCCTGGCCTCCTGCAGGTCTAGGTCCGCAGGTTGGTTGGAGCGATTGCTGTTGGACCCTTTCCTCTTAGTCCCCCCTTTACCTCTCCGGCGCTCTGATCCAGGCAGGGTGTACAGAGGATCCTGAGGGTCATGCAGGTCCTCTGACTCTGCATGGAGATCATCAGCAGGGCTGCTCGGGTTAGTCTTCATCACTGAGGCCGACGACTCCTGGTCTAAGTCTTTTCCTATAAAGCTAGATTGTGATCTGGAGTTGTCCCGGGTCCAGAGCGCAGGGGGTGGGCTGACAGAGCTGGGGCCTTGCTGCTGCTCTAATGTCTCATCCCCTGCTACACTGGTGAAACTGCAGGTCTCAGACACGCTGAGGCAACGCTCACTGTCTTCATCCTTTACACTGATCTCCAAGGAAGATTTGATGAAGTTCTTGCAGAAGTTGATGACATTGTTCATCTGTAAGTAGCTTGCTGCTGACATCACCTCGATCACGTTGTGGCTTGAGAGGTCCAGCTGGCCGGAGTAGATGAAATCCAGGATGACGGTGAAGGTCTCGGGGCTGAAGACGTCGAAAGTGGCATCAACGGAGTCAGCCAGCCCGTCCGGCCCCTGGGACAGCAGCATGCGGAAGTATCCACTGCTGGCAAACAGGACGTTGCGGTGGGCCCTGAAGAGCTGACCCTCCACCAGCAGGTTGCAGTCGCAGAAGAGCTCCTGGCGGCGCTGCTGGTTCAGCTGCTTCAGCAGGCTGCTCTGGTGAGCCACTGTGATGTCTGCCGCGTTGAACCACCTCTGAGGCTGCCTGCAGGAGACAACATGAGAGCACTGGGTGTGCATGCGGAAAACACTGTTCTGCAATAAATTAACAGATCATAAAGGCCTTGTGGAAACTAATAATGACAGTATCACTTCTTCCATCTACATGATCCTGGATGAACAAGCTAAGAGCCTATACATAGCCTACATGACAAATGTTTTGACTTTTATATATTACAGTGGAAAACATACACTTCTTGAGTGTGTTCGTGGGACATATCTGACCTGGCCAACTGACTTTGATAAATAGTTGTGCTACCAGGTTAAATATTAAAAGCAGGTCACATAGCAGGGGGGGGGGGGGGTGCCGGACGTCAGCGAACCGAACTTTCTGCGCGACTGTCACTCAAATGCGGGACATAGTCTCAATTTGTGGGACGCGGGTCTAGTCATCCCAAACAATGCCACAAGTGCGCAGTGCACTCACAAAACGGGCAGACAGCAGGTCTACAGAAACTACCGGTATACTTAGTCCTACTTTAGTTAGGCTACTGTACTGCAAAAAGCACGTGCTGCGCTCAACACAGACACAGACTCAAAACCATGGACACACCGGCACATAAACAATTTATAAGCCTAAATTGCATAAATGCTTGGACTTAGACTATTAAAAAAAAACCATGCTTCAAAAAAGTGGGGTCTCCAGATAAGTGGGGGGACGGCTATCCCCCGCGTCCAACGACCACTACACCACTGCCAGTGACCCCCCCGTTGATGTAGCTGTCAGATCTCCCCTGTCTTTGTTTATGCACTGGACTATCTCGAGCTCCGCAAAACATCCGCCTACCTGATTTCATTCGGCGCTGTGATTGGATGCACGATATTTCAATCAAACTCTCATTCTAATAGGCTACACCCGACTCCAGTCAGAGCATCGGGTGGTAAAACCCTGTTATCACCCATAAGGGAAGGTAAAGCGGGCATGAAATATATCTGACGTTACAAACACAACAGACTTAAGGGAAGAGAACATATTAGAGCATTGTAACTGGGCATGACATGCAAAGATAGTTCGAAAATGCCGCAACCTCATTTGCAGAATAGTTTATTTTTTTATAGTAACCTATTTAGCCTTCCTCGTGTAGACTCTAAATTACACCCATGCATTTTTAATTATACGATGCCTTCTGACAGGCTCCCCAGCGCCCGATAACCACGGTGCAACGCCCGCTTGCAACATTCTATACTGCTCCTCATGTCACACGAAACCAAGTCCAGTATGTAAACAGAGATATTCTCGCTTAATTCAGGTAGTCGACCTATAAAACGAAATGAGAGTGCTGCAGTCCTCCGAGAGAAAAGCGGGCAGCGGCGCACCAGAGCAGCCCAGTCTGTCCTGGAGCGACGCCCACTTCAGGCTCCAGCCAGCACACAATGGAAAAATAAGAAACAAACCTCCAGTAACTGAGCATACTGCGAACTGATAAATACATATATTCACATAGGGAATCATATTTGGGATAAGACGCGCTAATACACCCGTTTTCATCCTCGACGCCACCCCCACTTTCCCCGGAGGTCCGGAGCGCAGCGAGCAGCGGGGAGGATTTGCCTGCTGCCCAAACCCAGCGACTCTCTCCCAGGCGTGAGGTGTCGGCAGGACCCGCTTACGCCCCACGCCGTTCAACCCCCACAAGATCCATCGATACTCACTGGTGACTTGATTCACCCGGCGCCCGATAGAGTCTACTCGCCCCCAAGTCTTCCACCATTTCCGTTTTTAATTTCTTTTGCATTTTTCCGGTGCTCTTTTCTCCCTTCCAGGGTCCACAGTCAGGCACTTCCTGCTCAGCCCTAAAGACCGAAACCCGGTTAGAGCGATTGGAGCTCTGCTGACGTGGGTGTTTATTAACTGGGTGCCCGAGGGTTCAAGGAGCCATTTAAAGCCCTAGTGCCCGGTTTTAATGTGGTGTATGGGCAGAATATTGATATTGAACAGTGCCTTATAACATTGTGTAATATTTCTATAGGGATTTATAGCCTGTCTGCCCATCTACTGACCTATCATACAGCTTTTATTTACTGTATATCTGCTTTGGCATCACTATGATAATGTTCCTGTGTGGCTCAATAGTGACTTTTCATGTGTATATTTTACTGGAATATTGTTATGGTTTTTCCACATTTTGTATTTGATCTCATATCGTATTCAGCACTGAAACCGGCAATCTCCCTTAATAACATCTAATTTCACAATAATTTGAAACAGTTAACTTTTATAATGGAGTGGAAATGAAGACATCCTTAATATGACAATTAATTTATTCTTTCAGTGTTATGGCTCACAGATCAATACATACAGTATTATTGGAGAAAACACCCATTGTTAATCTGAGAGATCAAACATTTGTTCATTAGTTAATAGAGAATATAGTATAAAGCAGCTGAATCACATGTTGTTTATATGAAATGCAACAAAGAGGAAGTTGATGGTTTGCTTTGGCCTGATGATTTAGGAGAGGATTCAATAACAGCAAAAGTCTAAGTTGCATCAAGAGGCGGTGCCATCGGAAAATCCTGTGGGGTTCTTGGACTGCCAGCGCCACAGATCTTCACCTACACAGGTAAGAATAATAACATATATGATGGGGCAATATTTCACACAAAATAGCTTTAAAATACACAAAGATATTTTAAGTGTAGCTGTGCTTACACATTCGTTCCAGGTCAAATTTGGCCTTCCAGCCCAGCTCCTTGTCAGCGAGACGAGGGTCAGCGTAGCAGGATGCGATGTCTCCTTCCCTACGTGGTGCAATTTTGTATTTGATCTATGGAGAAGATGCATTTTAATTAACAGAACAGGAGGCTGGTTTAGCCTTAAAAGGTGGGACCCTCTTAAATCATCTAACTTCACAATCAAAGTCAGCTTTGCCATCCTTTAAACATGATAACATGTAGTTTGGTTACTACTCCAAGTGAGTTTAATTACTCTCAGAAGACACAATACAATCACTGAAGACAATTCGCCTTGGAAAGATGATGTCCCCTCACCTCTTTCCCTGATGCCTTCTCCATAGCCTTCACCATCTGGAGCACAGAGTAGCCCGTCCCCGTTCCCAGGTTGTAAACCTTCGGACACAAAAATATACGCATGCCAGCACTCCCATAAATACCTTCATGCTATATGCAAGTGAATACACAATAGACAAGAAAATGTGTTTTGGAATGCTTTGCTTTTTTTCTCAAATGTACCTTGCAGCCACAGCCATCCTTCAGCTTCTTCAAAGCTGCTATGTGTCCTTTTGCCAGATCTACGACATGGATATAGTCTCGTACACCTAGAAAGAAAAAGGCAAACCTTGAGCCCTCTGCCCAATTTGCAAACCACAATTAAATCTTTTAAATGCAGTTATTTTCCATTACCTGTTCCGTCAAGTGTGTCATAATCCTTCCCATACACACTGAGGCACTCTCGTCTCCCAACAGCAACCTATGAGGGGGATACATTAAGCAATGCAAAACACATGGAGTATGCTTCCATGCTCTGACCTAGCTGTGTATTTGGCAGAAGGCTCATGTACCTGGGCAACATATGGCAGCAGGTTGTTAGGGATACCCTGAGGGTCCTCCCCGATCAGGCCGGAGGAATGAGCTCCAATTGGGTTGAAATAACGCAACAGCATTGCATTCCAGTCCTGCTGACACACAGCGATAATGAGACACCATGTGCACTGTATATGTGTGGGTGTGCATGGTTTCTGTCTTCGGATAAGTACCTTCTCAGCTTTACAGTGGTCCTTGATCATCTCCTCAATGAAGTACTTGGACTGGCCGTAGGGGTTGGTGCAGCCGCCCACGGGGTGCTGCTCGTCGATGGGGAGGCGCTGAGGGTCTCCGTACACCGTGGCTGAGCTGCTGAAGACCAGATTGTGCACCTTGTGAGCCTGCATCACCTGGGACACGTGCAGATGCAAAAGAAACACGGCACACACATATAGTCAGCCGTTTAAGTACACACACATACAGAGTAAGTTTGGCGGACACAGTGAGCTCCACACGTTAAAAGTTCTGAAGGGTGCAGGGTTAGAATTAGCCGACTCAGTGTCAGATGAACACACACTGTCATGCACTCTGCAAACAAAGAGGAAGTGCAAATAGAGATCAGTTCAGAAATGAAGAGGGAAGTGCAGGCTTAATGGAGGACAGACGTGTCAGATAAAAAGTTCAAACTGACCTCCAGCAGGTTCATGGAGGCGGTGAGGTTGACTCTGTAGTAGCGTAGCGGCTGCTCCACAGACTCGCCAACAGCCTTCAGACCAGCAAAGTGTATCACCGCACTGAAGGAATGCTGCAACACACATCCATGTTTAGTCAGGTATGACCAATGTGGAAGGACATATTTTTAACTGATATGCCCAAGCATTATGTCACACTACCTATTCTCAGTGCTATCTGAGCATGTATGGTGGCCGGCAGGGACATAGTTAGGTAAAATACATTGAAAAGCAGACTAAAATTGTAATTGTAAAATGTACAGTAAAGACAAGGTTTTCAAGCATTACCTCAATGACATGTTATGAGCTGATCTAAGAGCTGATTTATGAGCGGAAAATACCTGTACATTTAGTTGAATTTAGGTTTAAACTCACATTTTCTGTTGTCGATTAATCAGCCATTGAGGTGAACAATTTATGAATTTGTCCAAAAAAATTGTCAACATGCCTATTATTGTGAAACATGCCTATTATTTTCCCAGATCCAAAGCTGCCATATTAAACGGAATTATATTATATATTCAACCAACAGTAAAAAGCCTTATGTTTGTAATTTCTTGCCAGAAAAAATTACTAAAACATATGGCTTATCAAACTAGTTACACTTCAATCGTCTCTCAACTGAGAAAGCATTTAAATAAGTAGCTGTTCAAGTTTGGATAAAATGAATAAATAACCTTTAATATCTTACTGACCTTTTTGAAGAGTTTCTCCAAGCCAGGTTGGTCCAGAAGATCTAGTTCATGAAACTCAATGCTGGTGTCCAGGAACTTCTCTATCCTCCGTATGCTTTCTGGCACATCCCCCTCTCCTCCATAGACAACAGGTTACACACAGCTTTATATTATGACTTTGAATTGCCAACTGTAGGCTGAGGCACTAACTTTTTATCAGCCTGTGTTTTCATTAAGGGAGTTTACCTCTGACAGCGTTACTGAAGTTATCCACCACGACTGGATGGTAACCCGCTTCGATGAGCTCCACCACACAGTGACTACCGATGTAGCCTCCTCCACCTGTGACCAGGACCTTCTCTGCCATTCTCTCACCTGTCAAATACAACACACAATCACAAACATAAACTCAACCATTTAAAACCCTGTTGTGATTATTCTTGTTAAAGCACAATGATGTGAAGGCAATCTCTAGACCTGCTATGGAAGAACAGGATATCCTTTAGCCTGAGTAAGTTTGAGGAAATACTTTAGGGCCACTGTCCCAGGGCAAGCCCAAACCTGTCAAGCCACATACAACAATTATAGTGCCTTAACCTTGTAACGTCAGTCGCTACTCACTGTTGGAAGGTATTTTAATCATTTGAGAAGGTGAACTTAAATAAACTATAATGTACTAGTACGTTGCTTCGTAAAAGTTGTATGAATTAATTTCAATAAAAACCTTTGCCCCTAATGAGTGCTGAGTCTGCTTTAACATAAACCCATGGACATTTAACTTCTTTCCATCTAGGCTTAATCAATAACCTAATACTATATCTCCTCAATAGTAACATACACTCTAGGCCAAATCCTAAACACACTTTTTCCTCAGTACACTTTTGTATTCTGTGTTTTGCATTTTGAGACTGTACATTATAGCTAAATGTATTATTGTCTGTATAAGATTAGGCACAATCCGAATTAACACGTATTTTTTTATAAACGTGATGTCGTCGTCGACCAACTGCATCTATGCCAGTTCTAGTAAGGATTAACAACTTACATTTAGTCTAACCCATTTAGCAAAGGCATTAATTTGTGACAAACTGTCAGAATGAGAGCACATCCTACAGAGAACTGAAGATGTCAGTGAAAAGACTTACTTAATTTCCCGATAAGAGAGTAAATAGTAGTTCCCGACAGAGTCTCCTAATAAAACAGACCCGGAGAAGCAGGAAAAGTGTGTGTAGTGACAGAAATAAGTTGTATCTGTCAGTTCATTTAGTGAAGTGTTACCCCTCTCCTTTAGCCATATCTTTACTTCCTGTAAAACGTGGAAACAGCGATAAATTCATGAGTGGAGCGCAACTTCCTATATCTGTCCTTTCAAAATAAAAGCATACGCATTCCTACATTGGCACCGCAGAACATTTAATTCACTTAAGCTTTAACTGTGATATAAAGTTATCAATATGTGTTATAATACCATGTAGGTAAACAAACGCAACATAAACAAAAACACGTTATAATATCGGCAAAACTATAGTTTCAGCTTTTAATTTGAAGTATTAAACGGATTCACCATACTGCTCATCGTGCGCTTCATGGTATTTAATCACTTTGACGTTGTACGTAAGAGGCTCACATGCCGTGACGTCAGAACCACCCTAATAAAGCTACGCCCTTGCCCGTACAAACAGAGAGGTGATAGTGCTGTGTGCAGACCAATACACACAGGATGGGAAGGGGAAAGTGCCACGTAACTTAACAAATTCAGTCCAGCACATTTGCAAATAGTAAAGGGTTTAGGCAGCAATGCAAGTGCAGTTTAGTAAAAAGTACTACAGATACTTGAATGTATCCACACAAAAACATGTTTTAAAACACGTTTAAAACATACAGTAGGCTATATTCTATATGTCATTATG